CCACTCGCCCTTGGTGCAGCCTAAGACAGTGTATGAATATTTCAGTGTCTCGCAGGCAGCCCTGTAAAGCGATCGCTGTATTATTAAGAGGGGCGCAAGAGGAGGAGGAGGAGGGTTGAGTTTGCCGCTGCGGTTTTTGTTTTGGTTTGATTTCTTTGGATGCTGCTGCAAGGCGACTTGACGCATTCCGGCACTGGCTCCTACTCCTAACCGGCGCTTCTCACTCGGAGCAGGTAAGGAAAAGCCCCTTCTCCCCCCGCACTGTTGGACTCTTAATTTGGACGGTTTGGATCTGGGATGCCGATCTCCCTCCCCCCGTCCTCTCTCTCAGTTGTGTTTAGCTGCTGCAAAGCCGGAGAGGAGTTGCTTTGCTCCCCCTCCCCTAATCCCCCCCAGTTGGTATGATGAAGTTGTCAGTGCTCAGCTCCATCGTCTGTGAAGTGGGGAGCGTGGTGGTCAGGAGACTTATTGCAGGAGCTGGCCCTGCTGAAGTTGCCCGGGAAGACCTCCTGATGCGCTCAGGGCACTGCGGGGTCCACATCGGCCCCTTCCTGCCTTGGAGGCCCCAGTGCGTGTCTGGGGATGTGTGGGAACGCGTAGGGCTCTGCATGTGCTGCCGTAGTGGGCAGAGCGGGATGTTCTTGCTGGTGTGAAAGCCAATCCATTGCGCCTGAGCGTGTGTGTGGTGGGGCTTGGGGGCTGGTTTGTTACGTTTCTCTCCTCCCTGGCAGCCTCCATCCTGCAAGTGAGCTTTATGCCTTCAAAAGCAGAGTATCTCCATCCCTCCTAGCCGGCGCACAAGAGGAGAGGACCGGGGCAGCGGAGGGGGGCGGGGGGCAGGCAATGAAAATTTGCTGAGTTGGCATTGCAAGGACGCGCCTCCCAGCTGCCCCGTGATTTATTTATTTATTTATTTATTTGTGTGTATGTGTGTGTGTGTGTGTGTGTGTGGTAACTTCATGACAGCAGCCGCGGCGATGGTCGAGTCGGCAAGAAAAGTGGACGGATCAAGTTAAAGGCAAAAGGAGACGGCTGGGGAGGGGACCCCAGCCTGGGGGTGCACTCCGTAGACCTTCAGCCTCCCAACTCGGGGGACAGGACCCCTCACCTTACCTGCCCTCTTCCCCCCCAAAGGTACTTCTTCCCTCTTCACCCTTCCATCATCCCTGATGCCTCTCCCTTCATCCCATCTCTCCTTTTGCCTTTTGGCTGTTGCCATCCTTTAGGGTCCTCATCCACCCCTTCCTCAAACTCTCCATTCCAACACATCATCCTTCCCTCCAGACTCTGAGCCTCCCCCCTCTCTGCCCCCCTCCCTCCACTGAACTGCCCTGGGGGTCTCTGCTCTCCTCCATCCTCCTCCCCCCTCTCAAGTCCCTCTCCCTCACTTCTCCTCCCCTGCCCCTGGGTCCCCTTTCCCGTGTGCCACCATGACCGTGATGGCTGGAGAGAACATGGATGAGACTTCTGCACTGCCTGGCCACCCCCAGGATAGCTACCAGCCTGCTGCCCATGATGACCATGAGTGCTGTGAGCGCGTAGTGATAAACATTGCTGGACTACGCTTTGAGACGCAGCTGAAGACCTTAGCTCAGTTCCCCAACACTCTGCTGGGCAACCCCAAAAAGCGCATGCGGTACTTTGACCCCTTGCGCAATGAGTACTTCTTTGACCGGAATCGGCCCAGCTTTGATGCCATCCTCTACTACTACCAGTCTGGGGGCCGGCTTCGCCGGCCTGTCAATGTGCCCTTGGACATGTTCTCTGAGGAGATCAAATTTTATGAGCTGGGTGAGGAGGCCATGGAGAAGTTCCGGGAAGATGAAGGATTCATCAAAGATGAGGAGAGACCCTTGCCAGAGGGGGAGTACCAGCGCCAAGTGTGGCTCCTCTTTGAGTACCCAGAAAGCTCTGGGCCTGCAAGGGTCATTGCAATAGTCTCTGTCATGGTGATCCTCATCTCCATTGTGATCTTCTGCTTAGAGACGTTACCTGAGCTGAAGGAAGACAAGGAGTATACAGTGCATCGCACTGACAACACCACCCAGGTCTACAAATCCAACATCTTCACAGATCCCTTCTTTGTTGTGGAGACCCTGTGCATCATCTGGTTCTCTTTTGAGCTGGTGGTGCGCTTCTTTGCTTGCCCCAGCAAGACTGAATTCTTCAAGAATATAATGAACTTCATTGACATTGTGGCCATCATTCCTTACTTCATCACCCTGGGCACCGAGATGGCCGAGCGGGAGGGGACTCAGAAAGGAGAGCAGGCCACCTCCTTGGCCATCCTGAGAGTCATCAGACTGGTAAGAGTCTTTCGAATCTTCAAACTCTCCCGGCACTCTAAGGGCCTCCAGATTTTGGGACAGACCCTCAAAGCAAGTATGAGAGAGCTAGGTTTACTAATCTTCTTCCTCTTCATTGGGGTGATCTTGTTCTCTAGTGCGGTATATTTTGCTGAGGCTGAAGAACCTGAGTCTCATTTCACAAGTATCCCTGATGCTTTCTGGTGGGCGGTGGTATCCATGACCACTGTGGGCTATGGTGACATGTACCCTGTGACAATTGGAGGCAAAATCGTAGGCTCCTTGTGTGCCATCGCTGGTGTGCTGACAATTGCCCTGCCTGTACCTGTCATCGTGTCCAACTTCAACTACTTCTACCACCGAGAAACAGAAGGGGAAGAACAGGCTCAGTTACTTCACGTTAGCTCCCCTAATTTAGCATCTGACAGTGATCTCAGTCGCCGCAGCTCCTCCACAATCAGCAAATCTGAGTACATGGAAATCGAAGAGGATATGAATAATAGCATAGACAATTTTAGAGAGGCTAATCTCAGAACTGGCAACTGCCCTGTAGCCAACCAAAACTGCGTTAATAAAAGCAAGCTGCTGACTGATGTGTAAACAAAAAAACCAAAATCCCTACTCACAGCTTGAAGACTTTAGTGACACAGTCACACTTTGTAGATGCTTTACTGATAGTCTTTGAATGCTTTATTTACCTCGTAAATGCACTGTTGCATTGCGAATTTCTGCTCAGCGATAAAGAAGCTTCCAGGATCCATGAAAGATAAGATTTTGTTTATTTTTAAAAAGCATTTTCCACCTGGTAAATGATAACCATTCAAACTAGTTTAGTTTTATGCTGTATGACGCTAGACCTAAACTTTTCCTCTCCCATCTACCTTTATTTTTTTTTTGATGAAGTTAACTTATCCTAAGCGAGACAGTTTCTAGAGCTATAAAGCATACGCATGGATTCCAGTAAAAATACTCTGCAAAACTGCACAGTTGCAAGAAAGTGCATCAGATAATAATAATAAAAAAGATTAGCAAAAACCTGCAGCAAGCATTTGCCATGGTTTCTAATGAAGGAGTGCAAATTTTCCTTCTGCCCCCTTTGTGAAAGATTATGTACTTCCAATCTACAGATCCACACAGCACCTTATTAGAAACATACTTAAGCCTGGTCTCTTTTGCTGTCCATAGAAGAACTGTTCTAAAAGGAAAATAACAAACGAAACTGAAGACAAAACATCTGCAGTGCTGCTAAGTTCTCTTACATGCAGATGATTTAAACATACTTTTACTTTTCCCTGTCCAGAACTGGATACAAAACTTTAAGCCCCTCTGTTGCAAGATAGCACAATGGAGTTTAATATAAGCATGTTTGAATTTGATACTATTTATTTTATAATCGCATGCCTGAAACGTTACCTCAGACAATAGCGGATAAGCTTTCGTTTGAATTGAATCTTCTAAAAATAGGTCCTTTATCTCTCTTTTTTCTTTTCTTTTCTTTTTCTTTTTGATTTGCATTCACCAGAAGTGCACTCCTTAATTTATTAAATCGTTGACTAGTAATTTAAAGTACTGTATTTAAGTGCGTATGTTAGTCAAATGGGAACAATAACTTTTGGAGATCAAAGCATGTTCAAATATTCAGCATTATGGCCTATTTGATTAAGGTGTAACTTGAATTAATTAATGCATGAGTTCAATAATAATAATAATAACAATAATAACAATAAAAACAAAATAAAAAAAAGTGCTTGATGGACCGAGGGCCTGAACGAACTGATTAGAGAAACCTGATTGTTTTCCTGCATTGCTCAGGGAAATGCGTTGGCTTTTGTCCAGGCGTTGTCGGAAGGGAACATATCCCATCCCTTAAAGGGAAAGCTATACGGAAAATTAAGAAGTCAAGTTATAGATAGCAACACCTAAAACCTAGTATCCTTTATAGTTGAAAGGTGCAGATGCATGCTTTTTGGTGCATTCTCAGAATGTAAATGAAACTTATCTATTATATGCATCCAAATTGCAGCAGCTGGTTTCTTTTGCAGTCATTGGTTGAGACTTTTTTGTATTCCCCTAAAACTCACTGAAGAGACTCAACAGATTGATTTAGATAGTTGCGCAGTGCCTTTATCTTACATCCCCTAAATTGCTGAAAGTGCCTCCAGGAACTGAGCTGCTCAGAGATAGCGAAGGAAAGGGCAAGGCACCAACATACTGTCAGGAGCGTTCTGTGCTGCCTCCTGGCACAGCACAGAAGGGGGTGGAGGAAGGAAGAAAGAAAGAGCAAGTGTGAGTGAGAGGGACGCAGAAGAGGCGGGCAGAGACCACCAGCGCCCGTAAGATACCTTCCTTCCCCAGCCAGTCTGATGCTGCAGGACTCAGTGTTTGCTTCTGCCAAATAACTCACAGTTGTGTTTATGCAAGACTTCAAGTTTCCCTAGGTTGTTTATAGAGACATCGCTGCCATCATTGCATCTGCCCTTCCTTTCCCTGAGATGGCTTTTTGGCAGCCTGTCCCAGCATGTCAGGACGCAGGAGGAACTAGGGACCAGCATGAACTGCGGCATTGCCCAGTCAGGCAACCAGACTGCAGGGCTGTGCTTTTCTTTCCCTTGGATTCCCCAGCAGGTAGGTAAGAGAGGCTTTCCAGTGCCCTCCCATCCCTGCCTCCTCCATCCCCTTTTGGCAGTCTGTCAGATCTTAAATCCCATTACAGATCCTTTGAGCCATATTCTTCTTTCTGGTTCCTAACCTTACTCTACTTCCACCATCATCCTTCACTAGGAGAAGGTATCTTCTGCAATATGCCAGCCTTGACTGCTAGGCCCTGGAAGATAATAACCTTTGATCTGAGCTCATGTAGGCACTAATATTTATTTTTTAAATGGACAAAGTTGAGGATCTTCATTCTGCACTTAGCTTGTGGCCAACTGCTGTTGAACACGTCTCCTTCTACATTGTACAGATCCTTTCTTCCCCTATCTTTCTGATGTATGTATATATGTGTATAAATATATATATGTGTCTGTGTATGTGTGTGTCACATGACACACAGACACACATGTATATAAAATAAAGGCACTTAGAGTTAAAAAAACCCCAACGAACCCTAACTCTGCAGTTACGCACAAGCCTGATCTGCCAGGTTTCCAGAAAGACTTGACTTTATTTCTCACTGTGTGGCTTCTGTGAATCTTAACGATGAGAAAGTGATCAAGAACTGAGGGAGCTCTAACTCCTGCAAGAAATGCACAGCATCAGATAAAACAGGGCATTACATCCTCTAGTTAGATGTAAAGCTTCCTTCCTGTCCCCGGCTTGTGCTCCTGCCCATCCCACACCTCTCTCCCTGTTAAATTCTGGCGGTCCTGATCTTCCCAAACTCTTGACTTCTAGGCTATGACTTTTCATGTCAAAATGGACTTGAATGCTGCACTCAGCTTACAAAACAACCAACTAAACTAAACAGCAATAATCAATTCAGTGCTGTGGGACTGATGATCAGAAGGCAGCATCTGGGAGATGAGGCCTTACTTTGGTAACTTAAATTCTGCCATAGTTGGGTGTGCACACCTTAGTTTAATGAGCAGAATGATAATAATTCTGCACACGTAAAAAGTGCTGCATGCAGCGATTCTTCTTTGTCAGGAGACCGGGATGGATCATTAGGACTCGGGGTGGTTTGGGAAGCCTGAATGTTGCTTTGTCCATTTATAGCTCACTGCAAAGGATCTCAATACATACGGAGTACAGGAACTAACCTCATGTAGCATAGGCATGCGTTTTTGGCAAGTTTCGCACACACACACACACACACACACAAATCCCAAACAAAGGCTCTTACTCCCTTTACACAGGAGTGCTGAAATGTCTTTGTGGGCCTGAAGGTGCACTTAACAAACTGCCTGTTCTTACCAGTAAGCATCCTTTTCTTTCTTCCTTTCGTTTTAATTTTTTTTTTCTTTTTCTTTTTTCTCCCCCTTTTGGCATATATTTCTTTTTGCCACACATGAGCTGTATGGGGTTGTTTGTGTCAGTGAAAGAGGACTGGAAATGAGCTGATGGCCAATTTAGTGCATCTCTGAAAAAGAAGAGACCTTCATTTGGTAGGGACCTCCCAGAAGCGATGCCCATGTTATACTGGACAGAGAACCCAGCATATGCCAGTCTTAGCTGGGCTGTAGTTTGATGAGGCAAGGCAGCAAGTCCAGCATAAGGAGTCACTACCCAAGCCTCCTTTACCAGCCACTCTCTATGCTGCCTTCTTTGTTGCCCCCACAGAGCTTTTTCTTCATCCACTCGGTGAAGGGCATGAGGGAACTTACCTGATGTGAGCAAGGCAGCAGTGCACTGCAGTGCAGAGGTAGGAATGAAGTGGAGAAGCAGTGGGCAGGAATCCCCCAGGCTGGTGTCACTGCCAGAATTCCCCATCTGGTCCTACCATCCTTAGCTGTAGAGCACTAGGGAACAGGCAGAGGTGCGAGGGGGAGAGTGAAAATGAAAGGCTCTGTACCCCCTTCCTTCACAGATCTGAGAGGTCGCTGCCGAACTGCCAAGAGCTCAAATCCTCTGTGTGGCAGCTCCAGCAGAGACAATGAACTGGATTTACTGGTCCTTCATGAGGAAGTTAGTGTGCAGTAAGCCAGGGTGTGAGTTCACAGCATCGGAGCAAACCCATGCAGATTCCCTGCATGGAGTCTTTTAAGCCTTATCTCCACTGGGGACTTCAGGGAGGCTAATTCGAATTAATGAAAGGTGTGCATTTAAAGTAGATTTGTTAAACTGCTTTAAAGCCCAGCATGGACATTCTGTTGCAGTATAAAAGCAACCTTAATCTGATTTGGAGTCATTCTTTTTGGAAGGAAAGTAAGCTGAATTGAATTAAGGCTGCTTTAATTCTGAACACAATGGGGCTTAATGCAGTTTACCTCATCTGCCTCACAAGTTCATTCAGATAGACGAGCCTTTAGTAATCATTAAATGTAATGGAACTGACCCTACTTTGCAGGGGGTGGCTGGGCAAAGTGTGGCCACATGCTATAAAACTCTTGGTATGTGAGTGCTGGAAATTCACAGCCTGGCTTACTGAGGACTAACACGTTCTTCCTGGTAACAATTCCAGTGATTTCCTTCCTTTATTCCTGGTTTACATGTTTGTAGGTGTAAGGAGAATCAATCCCGCTGCCTTCTGGGAAGTTACACTGACAAATGATCATGGCCCAAGGAAATTAAATTCCACTTACAGAGTCTCTGTGCAGTTGCTTTGCCTGATCATGTGGACAAACACTCGAGAGACAGTAGGAAGTGCTAGATACAGGACATAATTCAGCCAAAAGTCCTCTTGTTTTCAGCAGTGATTTTGCCCAAGTAGAGATTTCAGGGATCAGACCCTTCTTAGCAAATCAGCTGTGTATCATTTATTAGAGGCTGCATTGGCCCAGATAAAAAATTGGAGCAGTGGCAACTTGTAGTGACAAATTTTTTACTAAGGGACAATTGTTTTCATTAGACAGAGGTACAGAAAGTTTGTTTCTGTTATGAGAGAGCTGAAGCCCAAGTGTAGCATAAAAACCTGCTTACTTTTAAATGTAAGGAACTGAGGG